GCCTGGTCGAATCCCACTTCGACCAATCATACCCTTGGAGCAAGGGTTTCAAGCAGTAAGCTTTGAGCATTTCAGTAATGGTCTTTGGGACGACATCCTTGAAAAGTGGTCCTAAGATCTAATAGGAAGCAATTGAATCGCCTTCAAACCGTAAAGTCTTGTTAGTGTTTTGGTCAATGAAGTCTTTGCACTTGGTGCACTCCTCAGAAAGCCTGATAATAAAGGTGTTGGAAGCCATTGTTGAAGACTCAAGGGATTTTCTGGGTTTGGGAGTTTTCTGGGTTTTGAGATTTTCTAGGTTAAAAAGGGAAAATGGTAAGAGATTTAAGATTCCTGAAAGCGTAGAATATGAATGAAGAAGAGTCGGGTATTTATAAGCATTTTGGAAGGAAGATCAATCGTTTGGTTTGGGGGGTAGAATCGATCGGAGAACCTAATAATCATGATGGATATTCAGAGAATCCAAGTGAAGGGACCGAAGATCTCATGGTTTGAGGATGCATGTTTGCGTATGATGGTGGATTTAATGGTGATAAGACGTTTCAATGGTTGCACGTTTCGAGGCAAACGAGTACGCTGAGGAATTGCCACATGGCAGATTATCTGACAAAATTAAGATCATGCAATTGTGCATCATAAATGCGCCTGAATGGATGGAATATTCAAGGCCTTTCGTTGTTTTTCAAAGATACTTGGGTATGATTTCGCTTCTTCAAGGTCGAGGCTCGGACAGAAGCTTTGGGTTGAAGACCTCAAAAGCGAAGGGGCAATGTTTAGACCCAAAATGTTATTTTGGGCCGAGCCCAGAAACATTCTTGGCCTAATGGTGTTTATTTAAAGTCTTGTCATGGGCCGACCCTGTCAAGCTTGGCCGAATCCTGCTACAAAGAGGATTATTTCGGATAAAGGTGAAGTAGTCGAATCCTGGTATAATAAGGATTCTCAAGGCTAAAGTACTTGGGATTAGGAGATGAACCTGGTTTGTTTGAAGGTTTGGTTCAAAATCCTATCAAGATTAGGATTGGTCAAAGTTTAATCAGATTGGGTTGAGGAGTCCTAATTCGAGTATATCTCTAGTTTGGCAACAAGCAGGCTCGTTGCTATAAATACAAGACATTGTGCAACATTTGAAGCCTCTCATATTCAACACACAAATTGCCCTACGTAAACTCTTGCTCTACACAAAACCTTTCAACAACATTACAGCACTGAAGCCGTAGAATCAACCGATCAAGGAGCACCTTCAGTTTGGATAAACAGCACTGCTTCTCGGCCAACTGATTGCCTATCCAAGTCTCGATCAATAAGGATTTTTGAGTCCTTATTGGTAGAGGTCATCTCATCAACCTTATCGGCGAAGTGAGGTGTTACCAGGTTACTACATTCGGTACAATAAGAGCCGAATCAGATATTGAACTTTACAAAACTAGCAGCCTTGTCTTCAGGCTCTAGAACCTAAAGGTCGAGATATGTTCCTTCCTCAACCGTAGTCGCAAGATCAAGAAGTCAGCAATGCGGTCAACGCAACATCAACACATTTTACTCCCCGGTCGAGCTCGGCTAATGAGTTGGCACACCCCGCACACAACCGAATGACGTAGTTAGCTTATTAATTATTCGGCCTACACGTCACGTAGACTTGGTAGTTTTTAGGGTCAACAAGTTCTAACAACTTTATATGAAAGATGATTAATATAATTAATTGTTAATTATATTAGATTAAAATAGAATTAAGTACATAAAACCCACCAAACAAGTACCCAACCTATTGAAAATGTCACATCCATTGAGCCCCATTAAAATTTTCAAGCATAGATTATATTCAAACTCACAAACTTGGTATATCATGGTCAACATTAATGTTAGTTGCCTCAAAATCTAAATTTCAAACATAGATTATACAATATAAAATCCAATGATCAAACAGGTATTGAATCGAATTGAAAATGGACCCAAATTGAAATTACATCAGGAGGACAATCTTCTAACAAATGTTAGGGTTAAGGATTCAGATAGGGTTTCAAGGACTTTGTTTTTGTTCATGTGTTTTCCTCATATGCCGATTCACGGCTCGTAAAGTTTCTAGTTCTTTTTTGTGCGCAAGGAAGATGGTGGTGACTGCATCATGGCATTCCATACCATTTCAGCAATCTTCATGACCTTCTTCTCAATGTTAGGGGCTTGATTTGTAAGTTGGAGTTGGTGGTTTTACTTTGGGTTTGGAGGTGATGGCATGATAATGGTGGTGGTGACCGTTAATTTGACAGATTTTAACTGAGGTTTAACGGATGTGACATTTCAATAGGTTAGGTACTTATTTTGAATGATAAAAATGATTGAGACCAATTTAAAATGACACTAAAAAGTTGAGGGGTTTTAGATACTTAATCTATTAAAATGTTTGGGCATGTTTAACTTATATTTTAATTAAGATAACCTTTGAGTTTTACTTAATTAAAAGAAGACAGGTCACAAGTCCAACCAAGTGCGTAGAGGAATGAATATGAAGCATGGAGCAACGCCCTTGGCGTCAAGCCCAATGCTGGGGTGTGGTTAGGGTAGGATATTTTAAATACCTTGTGCTCTCTCACATGTCCCTAATACTTAAAGAGTTAAGATTTGTCCTTCAGAGAAAAAGAGAAAACACTCTAGTCGAATTCTCTTGTTGTGCCGCCAACCAAACGAATCCCCCGCGCATCATCCGTTGTGAGCAAATCTTACTAGCACAATTGAATCACTTGCGCATCATCGGTTTGTTAGTTTACTGGTGCGGACATAAGATCAATATTTGGAGAGCTATACATGAGTCAATCACGAAAATAAAGAACACAAATATAAGGATGATCTTATAAAGTGTACCTGTGGCTAAAGAATCTTGTAAGTAAATCTTAGCATTTGTTCGTTATTGCATTATCGAATTACAACCAATTAGACATGTAATTGGGATTACATATCATTTTGTTTATTTTTTCAGCTACGTATCTAATTATTAGAATTATAATAATCCCAATTATATGCCTTGAAACCCAACTAAGGCTTTTGCTGTTGCTCTACGTAGCCCATAGAGTTGAGATTGTGGTCTATTGACACCATCAAGTATTACATGGTCATTCTAAAAGTATGATCCACGCGACACGCTCTAATTGGGTGCAATTAATTTTATTTTTTTTTCGTTTTTTATTTTTTGAACAAACAATAGTATTTTACATTTTTAAGGGATAAGAGAGTTGGTTAAGCTTTACACTGAGTTAACGACAATAATGTAGTTCAAATTCGTATTTGGCAAGAATCGAACTTAAGACTTTTCATTTACAAATAAAGAAAAATATCACTAATAATTGAGTGCAATTATTTATGCTTACACATGTATCACTTGATATAAATTTACGATGCAAGGCTAAAAGCTTTCTCAAGTTAAATTGTGTCATAAATGGAAGATTTTTAAATAATTACCTAAATACATGAGTCAAAATAGTTTTTAGTCATCACTTAGTATTAAGGTCTAATGATATTTCTCTTCATTTGTAAGTGAGAGATTTTAGGTTTGATTTTCTCCAAATGCAAGTTTGAACCATATTATTGATAGTTCATTATAAGGCCAACCCACTTCTTTAGTGTAGATAATATCGTTTGTTAAAAAAACTAGTTTTTAGTCATTTGGTTTTCTGTACTTGGTTACAAGAAATTTCATGATCTAACTCACTTGAATACTAGGACGAAATATTTTTAATGATTAATCTTTAGTTGTTAATCCCCATTTAAATAGTATTGACAGAAAAAAAAAATCCGATGTAAATAGCATAATTTTGTTGTGGGTGCACTTATTTATAAATATCTTATTTTGTTTTGTCGGATGGAAAAAATAGAAAACAAAATTAAGTGAGATTAGCAATTGGGACAAAGTTTGATTAGGGCAAGAGAGTATAGAGACCTCAATATACGTGAATTAAAAAAAGAAACAATATATGTCAGGTCTAGTGTCACATAATTACTTTAAAATATAAACAAAAAAAGGAAATAGGTATGCCCCAAAACCAAATCACTAATAGTAATTTTACTTACTCCATATATTGGAGCAAAACTCAAAATTTAAGTTCTAAACTTATCTCAACTTGTTCCAATCGCCAAATAAGAGTTTTAACCATAACTTATTTTTTGGGCAAATTTAATCATGATTTCTCTTTTGAGTGTTTGGGTTGACCCATCATACATGTGTATTATTTTCAGTTTCATATTTATAAATTTATTGAATTCAACGTGTGATATCTATATGATCAAATCTGATAGTAAAAAAAAACCTAATGGTCCAAATTTAAATGCAACAGATAAAATGATTTTAAAAAAAAATCTTTTATTTGTTTCATATTCTTTTATAATGTTTCACGAATTTCATGGTATTAGTTTAGTAATTTTTTAATATTTATTAGAATCTTAATATTTATTAGGTTAAAATGTTCATAAAATTAAATTAGAATAGTCTACTTTTTTTTTTAAAAAAAAAGGTTACTTTAAGAAAAAAATATTCTAAATTCATTTTTTTTAATTCTAAATTAATTCTTTAATAATCTTGGACTAAAAATTTAATTGAGAAGGGTTTGAGCAGAAAAATTATTTCTAGATTAAAAATTTTAAGTTTTAAGTCAAAGGTTAGAAATGGTTTTAGGACAATAAAAATTCTAAATAATAGAATATAGAATAAAATTTAAAAAATGGAAAAGAAAAGGAAAAGAAAACGAATAATGTATATTAGAGAAATGATAAGACGAAAGAGGGGAAGAAAATGAAAGGGAAATAAAAAGGAAAGAAGGAGGTGGGTTCCTTGCACCCAAAGCATATCTCTTAGATTCGGCTTCGGACTCAGCTTCGGTTGTAGACTTGGTGAGGATAAGAACGACTCCTTGCACCCAAAGCATATCTCTTAGATTCGGCTTCGGACTCAGCTTCGGTTGTAGACTTGGTGAGGATAAGAACGACCCATCTCTCTCTCTCTCTCTCTCTACCGCCATCTACCACTCTACAAGAACCCATTCCCTCCCTCACCGTCTCTACTCTTCCTTTTGTATAAACCTAAAATACCCTTCTCTTTCTCTCTCTAAAAGCCTCCTCCTTTCTCTGACTATAACACATTTTCTCTCTGTACTTTCTCTCTGCTTTCTCATCTCAGCGTTGAGAAAACCAGTGTTCCTTTCTGTTCATTCAAGCTGGCGATCGAGAATCAAGACACCACGGTCAGAGAAATCAAGCCCAAGAGCAGGAGAATCATGGTAAAAACCCCACACTCTCATTTCTGATTTGCTTTTCTGGGTCTCACTCTCTCTCTCGCCATTCAAATTTTGGATTCAATGCTCTGTTTTTCTGGGTTAAGATTTTTTTTTGTCACAGATTATCGTGATTTTCCTTTTGGGTTTTGGGTCCTGATTGAGTTTTTGAACAGGGTGCTGGAGGTCCTGACGAGGAGGACAACAGGTGGCCGCCATGGCTGAAGCCTCTACTGAAAGAGAACTTCTTTGTTCAATGCAAGCTCCATGCCGATTCCCACAAGTCTGAATGCAATATGTACTGCTTGGATTGCGTGAACAGCCCTCTCTGCTCTCTCTGCCTCTCTAACCACAAGGACCACCGTGCTATTCAGGTACTCAAATTTGCCACAGATATTTGTGCTTTCCCATCAAATTTGGCATCTGTGTTTATTGAGAAATCACGGTTCCCCAATTTGTGTGTTTAATTTTGAGTTTTTTTAGACAAAATTGATGGGTTTTTGGTGACGAATTTGTACAGATAAGGAGGTCGTCTTATCATGATGTGATAAGGGTTAACGAAATTCAGAAGCATCTGGACATCAGTGGAGTCCAAACCTACATTATCAACAGCGCCAGAGTTGTGTTTCTGAACGAGAGGCCTCAGCCTAGGCCCGGCAAAGGAGTCACAAATACCTGTGAAGTCTGTGAACGCAGCCTCCTCGATTCCTTCAGATTTTGCTCTCTTGGTTGCAAGGTATTTACATTGTTCTCCTTTTCCATTTCACTTTCCCATTATTGGTTGGTTGTTTGGTTGCTGAGAAGATGAAGGAAAGTTACAAACTTTGGCTTTGTCTCTCCAACCAAAAATCAAACCCATGAGCTCATACTAAATGTCACGCATTCATATGAGTTGACGTCTTCATTGCCTTCTTCATTGCCTTGAATGCCATAAATCATAACTTTTAATGTGAATGTCAAACATTGAATTCAATCATTTGAAATCCAATAATTCAAACTTTTGGGTTTTAAGTTCCTTGCTAATTAATCTCAATCCATTGCATATGCAAATCAGATTGTGGGGACGTCATCCAGTAATCCCCAGAAGAAGAAGAACAAGTACTCCAAGGCAATGGCGGGTTCCGATTCAGATGACTCGTACAGCAGCAGCAGCCACGGAATTGCAAGGTTCAAAAGCAATAGCCACCACGGCAACAACAAAGTTCAGAGCTTCACTCCATCAACGCCGCCCCCAACTTCTGCTAATTACAGAGCGGCCAAGAGACGGAAGGGCATTCCCCACAGAGCCCCCATGGGTGGACTAATCATAGAATACTGAGACTCTCTCTAGCCCTTGTACTTTTAGTTTATTACCTTTATACCTCACTTATACCGCGAGTTTGTCACAAACGCCCCTCCAATAGCTTGAGCCTCTTTCTCAAAGAGCCTTGTTTTTGGAGAAAATTAGAAAAACGCCCACTTCGCTTTCTGGTATTGTACAAAGAAGCCATATGGGAACAAGTGCAAGTGTTGGAAAAGTAGACAATAAGACAGCAACAAAAGTGGACGACTGGGGAAGAAACTGTGGAGGGTTCTAGAAATATAAGATTATACATAAAGTTTTGGGGGTGAAATTGTAAATAGAGGGTTGTTTGGGTGGGCTATTTAGAGTTTTAGAGGTAGGGAAAAAGTCAATGTACTCCTTTGGGAGGAGGTGGGGGGATGTCTATATGTGGAAAGTGAAATAATAGATTTTGTATTTTGTATTTTTATTTCGTGTTATTATTTCCGCTTTTAGAAGTTTTTGACTGGTGGATGAGAAAATTTAATTTCCAAGCGGGGCCCACGTAGGCGGCCTCCTGTGGTGTGGGTTTGTGACGGGGCCTTTCTGTCACTGGGGAACACGTGTCGGGGGCGGATTGGGCAAAGGAAGTGGGGAAGTCGGTCTTGATCCTCGGAATCATAAAGAGGTAGCAGTCGCCCTCCGTTTTTTTATGATCTTTTATTGGGTCATAAATTCAGAAAAGCGGTTCTTAAGCAAATTGGGTTACGTTTCTTGTGGGGGCCACAGTTGTGGAGAAATTTTGGCCGTTGATTTGATTGTGCACGGTGATGTTGGGCTTTGATCTGTCCACTTATGGGCAATCATGGTGGGACATGTGACAACGACTCTAATGCTTTTGTGAATATTTTTTTAGTTGGGAAATGCTAAGTAAACTCAAAGTGGGATGCTTAAGAATTTCTGATACTTTACCGTTTAACATTAATTTTTCTGTTAAATATTAAAAAATATCATGCTAAAAATATCAGGTATAGAAAGTTTATAGAAAGTTCTACCTTTGAGACAATCTTCTTAGTAATTTTCTTCTTAGTTTTATGCATTAGAAAAATGTGTGATATCATGTTTATAGATTGATAATTAATGGTAGAGTTTATTTTTTAATAATTTAAAGAACAAATCTAATTGTTTGAGGTCATGTTTTTAAAGGATAAATCACCAAAATGGTCCATGAGATTTACATAACTCATCACTTTGGTCCCTAAGATTCCAAATTGATAAAAGTGATCCGTGAGATTGTCCACCATCCATCATTTTGGTCATTCCGTTAAAAACTCCGTTAAGTGTCCTAGAGCTCTTGGCCGAAAGTTTGGGCAATTTTCAAAGTTTCGTAACTCAATCGTTTCTTATCCAAATTCGACCCATAATATATTAAAATGAAGATAGGAAAGTTTAAAATAAGATTATACATATTTCAAAGCCCAATGGTTGCCGGAGATGGCCGGAAAATAGTCTCAAAGTTGACTCGTCCGAGTGAAAACCTGAAAACTCGCCGGAAACTGGGTAAACTTTAAATGTTCATAACTTCTTCAATACTCAACGAAATCAAGTGATTCAAAAACTCAAATCATACTTCTCGACGAGACACAGAGAATGGTATCTTTTTTTATGGCTAACTCGCCGTGGTTTGGCCAGAAAACGGCTCGAAAGTGGCTAACTCGAGACCAAGATAGCCACTTTCGAGCCGTTTTCCAGCAAAAACACGGTGAGTTAGCCCTCAAAAAGGTACCATTCTCTTTGTCTCGTCGAGACGTATGATTTGAGTTTTTGAATCACTTGATTTCGTTGAGTATTGAAGAAGTTATGAACATTTAAAGTTTACCCAGTTTCCGGCGAGTTTTCAGGTTTTCACTCGGATGAGTCAACTTTGAGGCTATTGTCCGACCATCTCCGGCAACCATTGGGATTCGAAATAGGTATAATCTTATTCTACACTTTCCTATCTTCATTTTGATATATTATGAGTCAAATTGGTTAAGAAACGATTGAGTTACGAAGTTTTGAAAATTGCCCAAACTTCCTACCAAGACCTCCGGGACACTTAACGGAGTTTTTAATGGAATGACCAAAATGATGGATGGTGGACAATCTCAAGGACCACTTTTATCGATTTGGAATCTCAGGGATCAAAGTGATGAGTTATGCAAATCTCAGGGACCATTTTGGCGATTTACCCTATTTTTAAACTATGTGGTAATCAACGATTGAGTTAATTTTTTTAATAATGTAAAGATATAATTCAGCTATCAATCGTTGTATCATGTAATGTACAAAATATAATTGAAGTAGACAATCTCTCTAAGGTTATCTGATTGAGATTATAGTTGGTGTGAATTACAGTGAATAGTTGGGTCATAGCATTTTTTTGGAATGGTTAACTCCATACTGGTTTGGTACTGAGATGCTTTTATAAAAAGTGACTATAAAAAAAATTGAGATAAAAAAGGTGTTTGGTAAACACTTAAAAACAGCTTATTTTCACAGTTTTTGGTGAAAAAAAACCGAAAACGTGAAACAGCAAAAATGAGCTTTGAAAAAAAATTGAAAACGTGAAGCAGCATAAATGTTGGATTATGCTTTCTTGTTAAACATTGGATTATGATTTTTTGTTAAACATTTTTTTATATGTTTAAGATAAAGTTTATAAATATTTTTATTTTAAAAATAAAGTATACTTAGTAGTTCACATTTATTTGTTAAGAAAATTAAATTAATGGCACATTTAGTATTATACCATTTTTGGTCATTTCACATAGTCACAGTTATTTTACATAAAAGTTTACCAAACACTATAATACTGCTTTTTTTTTTTCCAAAAGTACTTTTACAAAAAAGTTTACCAAACACTCTGCTGCTTTATTTTACAGCTACTTATTCTCAAAGCACAACAGAAGCAATTTTTTTTTTCAAAGCACAACAATACCAAACCAGCTCATTTCATACTTGTGGTTTAAATATGATTTTGAAAAACTCAACAAATAAAAAATTAAAAAGATATATTTCATTCTTACATAAAATGAAGTTTAGATTAAAGCCTAATACAAATTTTAAAATTTAGTTTAGTACTGGAGCATGTTTAAATGATAGCATTTATATTCTCTGTCCTTTTATTTATTTATTTGGTAATTTTATGATTATTCTTTTCTTAGGTCTACAGTAGTTCATGATAATATATTTTTGTACATATATTTAGGTACATTAATTTATTATAAATATATTCTGTATAAACATTTAAATACACAAATTTATTATAATATAGTTTGTTGCAGATGTTTTGGCACAAACATTTAGGTATACTAATTTATTATAATATATTTCAGTACAAACATTTAGGTAGAGAAATTTTAATACAAACAAGTCAATTTAATGTATTTCGTTACGGTCATTTCTATATATTTATGTATTTATATAGTAATATATGTCATATATGCTCGTCTTTCAGAAACACTTCGTAGTTTAGATACACAAAAAAAGTCTCTCATTGGACACACTTCGTATTCCAGACATATTATTAACCAGATTTTCTTTGCTACTTAATCCTAACCATATAAATATTAAATCGCAATTCGCCATAGCCTAACTTTTTTGTCCTTCAATTATGACAAAGCTCCAAAAAAACAACTTATGATTTTTCAATAGTTTGCACGAACCCAAATTAAAGAACTCAAAAGAAAGTAGGAAGGCTGAGTGATGATGTGTTTGGAAGAGAGACCGACTTGAATCGCAGGATTTCATTGTTGCCTTGTGTTAATATTATAAAGACATTATGTATTTTTATATTATTGGTAAAATATTACGTATATTTGTATTATTGGCACAAAACATTTTATGTGTGTAAAAGATGCTGAAGAGGACAGGAGGTGACAAGTGGTGGTATTCATTCAATGTGTTGTTAACCTGCTTTTCTTGGTACGATATTTCATTGTTTAAGAAGACTAGATTTGGTATCGACGCGTTTTGTCTTTCTCTTTCTAAAACTCTCTCTGTGAAACACAAACCTAGGAAACTTTCGTCGCTGACCCTAGCCTTTAGCTTGGGTGCCAAAGGCAACCACCCCTCCTCCTTCATTTCTTCTTTTCCTCTCTGTTCTCTGTTTCTCCTGAGTTTTTTCTCAGTTTCTTCTTTTCCTCCCTTCTCATCTCCGCTACCCTTTCCCCTCCATGCCTCATCTTGCTTCCTTCTTTCCAGTTTTCTACCTTCATTTTTATTTCTCGGTTCTTTCCTGAGTTTTATCTCAGTTTTCCTTGAGTTGAGTTTCAACCATCCCTTGAGTTTGTCTCAGTTTTGGGCTTCGTGCCCCTTATTTGGTGTTTTCGCCTGCTTTTACTGTTTTTTGTCTTTTAATTTTCCTTCCTCCCTCTTCCTTAGCCATGATATTCCATCCCCACCCCACCATGTGCTCGAATCATTGAGCTCCCATAAAAAATGGGATATCAGATCCACTTCCCCTCTCCCAATTGGCATGCCGGATCACCATCTAGGCCAATTGTTATGAAATGTTCCAAATGTTCCTATAAATTCTTGCTCCTATTGGATCATTTGTATCTATATGCATTAGGATCCTAATTCATGGATCTCTCGGTTCGAGAAAAATAAAGATCAAACCATTTTTATGACTCTTTTTTAACTTTGATAAACGATAGTTGGTCGTATATTTCATTATAGTTCTATGATTCAGATCTATTCATTAAAAAAGAATCGAATTCAATACATTTCCTTTGTACCCATAGGTGTTATATTGGATTTGAATCATATTTTGGATTAATTTATATTGATTGACTGCCTCCATTATGTTGTTGCTAGCAAGTACCACTATTTTGTATTTTGGATCTTCAAAATCATTGCCGCAGAAGGTCTAGACCCATTTTTTTCCTAATCTTTTGATAAAAAGATTCATTCTCTTCATAAAAAAAAGAGGAGGTAGAACCAATAAATTTTATTCATCCCTAGAGTTAAGGTTCTGAAAAACACTAGGTGCTAGTCAAGCGGCAGGCAGGGGCCCAACGCCTAAGCAACGAGCAGGGGCACAATGCCTAGACGGATTTATGTAAATTTATTACAGATCTTGTAAATAAGTGCCTACACTTCAAAAAAAAAAAAAAAAAAAACTATACTTGTATGGATAATAAAAGAATGATAGAATGCAAAAATAGAAGTAAAAGAATACACAAAGTACATCTATCCAACAAGTTCAATATTTAAAAAATAGTAAAATAGTAAGCATATAATTATAATGAGGAGTATTCTTGGATGATAGACTAAATTATTCGTGTTCATGATTCTTGCATTGGATTGGACATAGACTAAATTATTTAACATTTTTATTTCTAGTTTTTTATTTTTTTTATTTTTTTATTTTTTTATGTATCCCCTCAAAAGTTCTCCAATTCATTTCACAATTGGATAAACTTGTAGTCAATCCATCATTTGCAA